GATTACAGAGTATGGAAGATGCATGATAAAGCATTAATGCAGTTGATCACTGCAACCTTGTCTCCTGCTGGGATTTCTTGTGCGATTGGTAGTACCAGTTCCAAAGAATTGTGGACTAGGCTTAAAGAACAGTTCTCAACTATCACAAGAACCAGTATCTTTCAACTCAAATCTGAACTGCAAAATATAAAGAAGGGTAATGATTCTATCACTGTGTATTTGCAGAAGATTAAAGAAGCACGGGATTTACTATCTGCTGCTGGTGTTTTCTTTGATGATGATGATATGGTGATTCTTACATTGAATGGTCTGCCTGCTGAATTTAATACTATAAGATCTGTGATTCGGGGTCGTGAAAATGTGATATCGTTGAAAGATCTTCGTTCTCAATTGTTGGCTGAAGAAGCATTGATTGAAACCATTCCTGCATCACCTGTTTTGTCTGCACTAATGGCACAGAACAATGACTTGGTGTCCAAGAATCAGTCTTTTTCAGGTTCTGGTGGAAATTATCCTAGTTCCAATACAAATGCATACAGGTCTTTTAATCACAATGGTAAAGGCAGAAATCGTTTTGGTTCTAATTTCAATCCGAGATATGGTAATCAAAAGAACTTCTCTTCAAATCCTGCACCTGGCATTCTTGGTGCTTCTCCGCCAAGAACACAGATTTATGGGTTTCAGCCTCAACTTTGTCAAATATGTGGGAAGTCAAATCATTTGGCTTCTACATGTCATTTTCGAAACATGAATGTTTCACAAGGTTGCCAAATCTGTGGGAAGCACAACCATATGGTTGATACCTGTAGATTTCGAAATACAAGTGGTCCCTCAGGCTGCTTTATTTGTGGGAACTCCAATCATACTGCAGAAACATGTTTTTCAAAAGAATGCCAATCCTCAAATGAGTGCTATGCATGCTGCTGCAACACTCAATGGTCCTAATCCTTCTTTCTCAGTGCCATCTCCTCCTCCACAGCAGCAAATTTGGCTTACTGATTCAGGTGCAAATAATCATATGACTTCAGACTTGGGAAATCTTTCCTTGTCCACTCCATATCCGTCTAATGAGACTATTCAGACTGCAAATGGTGAAGGTTTAGCTATCTCTCACGTTGGTTCCACTCTTCTTCGAACTCCAATGCAGCCTATTAGGCTTAATTCTGTTCTATATGTGCCAAAATTGTCCCAAAAATTTATTATCTGTTCATAAGATCTGCTTGGATAATAAATGTTGGTTGATCTTCGATGCTTTTTCCTTTTGGATTCAGGACAAAGCCACAGGGAGGGTGCTTTACAAAGGGCTGTGTAACAATGGTTTGTATCCGATCATCTCACCAAGTTCTCCTGCAGTCATCCACAAAAGGAACCTTGCAGCTTTTCTGGGACAACAAGTTACTACCAGTATTTGGCATAAGAGATTAGGTCATCCCTCTAATTCAATTGTTTCCCGCATTTTAGAATCCTCACATGTTCCTTGTGTTGCTGATCAAACACCTTCACTGTGTCACCCATGTTTAGAGGGCAAATTCAGTAAACTCCCATTTCCTTCCTCCGTAGATAAATCTGTAAAACCTTTTGATCTTGTTCACAGTGATGTGTGGGGTCCTGCTCCTTGTGTGTGTCTCTAGATGGATTTAGATATTATGTCACTTTCATTGACCATTGTACAAAATATTGCTGGATTTTTCCCATGTGCAATAAAAATGATGTTTCGGGTATATTTGTTTCTTTATACAATTTCATCTTAAATCAGTTTCAAGTAGCCATTAAAACTCTTCACAGTGATGGTGGTGGTGAATACATAAACAAAGCATTTCAACAGTTTTTTGTCTGATAAAGGAATTAAGCACCAACTTTCCTGTCCTTACACACCCGAACAGAATAGAATAGCTGAACGAAAACACAGGCATATTATTGAAACTTCCATTGCTTTGCTACAGTCTGCTTCCTTACCCTCAGTGTTTTGGTCTTTTGCCTGCAAAACCTCAATGTACCTCATTAATAGAATGCCATCTTCTTCCTTGGGAAATTTATCTCCATTTCAATTGCTGCACAATTCCATACCAGTATAACACATCTGAAAATATTTGGCTGTTCTTGTTATCCTTGGTTAAGGCCTTATACTCATACCAAGTTAGATCCCCGCACTGCAAAATGTATCTTTTTGGGATATGCATCTAACTATAAAGGCTATCTTTGTTATGATGCTTCTAAAAACAAAATGTATATTTCTAGACATGTTTTATTTGATGAGACAGAGTTTCCTTATCGTTCTTTGGTCTCTAAATCTCACTGGACCACTATTTCACCACCTCCATCACATTCTCAAACACCAATTCCAGTTCCCAATCATAGTAATGTACTTGTGTTACCCGAGTCACTTAATCCCTACACTGAGTGTCCTGCATCATTAAGCTCAGATTCTATCTCTAGTGGCATGCCAAATCTGGTACTCCAGCAACTTTTAGCAGCCTCCACTACGGTTCCAGTTACAGGTTCACCTGACAGTGCAGGAAATTCAACTGCTACTCACTCCATTACTTCTCCAACTACACAGCCCTTCTCCCCTGCACCTCCTGTGGTACCTGAATTCCAACCTGAGCAGCTCCAAGTGGTTCTCTCTGTTCCCCCAGTGAACTTCCATCCTATGCAGACACGATCCAAAAGTGGTATTATTAAGAAGCTTGCTTTACTTGCTCAGGTTCATGAACATGGGGGGGTTGATTTGACACAAGTGGAACCTGCAACATATAAGTCTGCGTTGAAATCCCCAGTTTGGTTTAATGCTATGCAAGATGAGATATTGGCTTTGCATAATCAGGGAACATGGTCATTGGTTCCATTGCCCCGTCACAAGAATTTAATCGGGTGTAAATGGGTATATAAGATAAAAAAGAATGCTGATGGCTCAATTGGGAGGTATAAGGCACGGCTGGTGGCAAAAGGCTTTAATCAAGAAGAAGGAATCGATTATGGAGAGACTTTTAGCCCTGTTGTTAAACCTACAACAGTGAGAATCGTTCTAGCTTTATCAGCAAACTTTGGTTGGACATTGAGACAATTAGATGTGAAAAATGCCTTCCTCCATGGCATATTACAAGAAGAGGTCTACATGACACAGCCACCTGGGTTTGTTGATCTTAAACATGAAGATTATGTTTGTCGATTACATAAATCGCTTTATGGGTTGAAACAGGCACCACGGGCCTGGAATGAAAGGTTCACTACTTTTCTACCTTCCTTAGGGTTCAAGTCTACATTTGCAGATTCATCTTTATTTGTAAAAACTGTTGACACATATGTGGTGATTCTGTTGTTGTATGTTGATGATATTATCATCACAGGCAGCCATCCACAAGCTATCACTGAGGTTATTCAAGCTCTTACTCATGAGTTTGATATGAAAGACTTGGGACCTCTTCATTATTTTCTAGGCATTCAAATTGTACAGAACAAGAATGGTTTGTTTCTCTCTAAAGACAAGTATGTTACGGATCTGCTTACTAAATCTGATATGCTACTGTCCAAACCGTGTGCTACTCCATGTTTGCCTTACAACCGTCTTCTCAGCAATGATGGCAAGCCTTATAATAATCTCCTACAATGTACAGGAGCTTGGTTGGTGCTCTCCAGTACTTGACTTTTACGCGGCCTGACATTGCTTTCGCAGTGCATCAGGTCTGCCAGTTTATGCAGCGACCAATGGACTCCCACTTTATGGCTGTCAAACGGATTCTTAGGTACTTAAAGGCTACTCGAGGCTGTGGTATTCAGTATATCCGAGGTTCCCTTGATCTTACTGCCTATAGTGATGCAGACTGGGCGGGTGATCCGAATGATAGACGGTCCACAACTGGAATGGTGGTGTTCTTGGGGTCTAATCCCATTTCATGAATGTCTAAGAAACAACACACTGTCTCTCGCTCATCAACTGAGGCTGAATATCGAGCTCTCTCTACTACAGCGGCTGAATTGGATTGGATTAAATCTCTGTTGTCGTTCTTGCAGATTCCTTTGGCCGAGCCCCCATTACTTTTATGTGACAACCTGTCTGCAATTGCACTGACTTGCAATCCAATTCAACATCAACGTACGAAACATATTGAGGTTGATGTCCATTTTGTTCGAGAAAGGGTCGCAAAACAGCAACTACATGTTCAGTTTGTATCGTCTACTGAGCAGTTTGCAGATATCCTCACCAAGGGTCTTTCTGCACCACTCTTTCAGACTCATTGTGCCAATCTCATGCTCAATTTCTCTGCCCCTGAGCTTGAGGGGGGATGATAGGTGTACTAAGATTCTATAGCTGTGATATAAGAGTTAGTTAAGGTGGTTATTGTGTGGCTTAGAGTGTAAGCTACCAATACAAATAAATACATGTTGTAATAGTCAGTTGTAACTAACTAGAAAGAAAATACAATTCTTGATTCTCTCTCTACTCTCTAAACTCTCTTACTCTCTTATTCTTCTACATTTCTCTCTGTCTTTCTTCCTGCATATTCTTTCTTCATCAACATACACAATGGTTTACACTCATGAGATTTCGAAGGAATTGAATCAAAATTTTATATGAAATCTCTACAAATCAATTAAACTTCATAAAAATTCATAGATTTATAAATCCATTAAAATATTTTAAATTCTCAATTGAATACATAACATTTTGACACGTAGAATGTCAAATTCACATTCATGTATTTGGAAGGGAAGTAAATACTTGATATAAACACCAGATTTTACTCGAAACCTTGGGTGCAATAACGATTGTTTAATTAGGGATCCTTTAATTAGTGCGTTGATTTTGACCGTAAATTAAATGTGTTGGAGATATGTACCATAAAAAAAAAATGAGTTTACCAATTAGTGCGTTGATTTTGACCGAAAATTAAATGTGTTGGAGATATGTACCATAAAAAAAATGAATTTACCCAGCTTTACACTACTCCTCGTCCTTCCATGGTTTCAATATAAATACCACAAAGTCAATAAAAGAAAACATGAAGTACAATTGCAACCATACAATGAAGACTATACAAAGCCGTATTGCAGTACTAATCTCCATCCTCTCAGTCTTTTCCCTTATACTACCGCGGGCAACTGCAGATCTAATTCTCTCTGACTTCCTCCGATGCCTTCCAAAGCAATCTCAGCCCACCTATCAAATCTTTGAAGCCATTTACACCCGAGACAACACCTCATTTCAATCTGTTTTGCAGCACTACATTAGAAACAGAAGATTTTCTACCCCCACAACACCAAAGCCTTTGGCTATTGTAACTGCCAAGCACGAATCACACGTGCAAGCAACTGTTATTGTGCAAATCAACATGGGTTGCAGATTAGAATCAGAAGTGGTGGGCATGACTATGAGGGCCTATCATATGTATCGGATGTTCCCTTTGTCATTCTTGACCTACTCAATCTTCGAGCCATTGATATTAAAGTCGCAGATAAGAGCGCTTGGGTTCAGGCTGGGGCAACTATTGGTGAACTGTACTATGAAATTGCCAATAAAAGTAAGGTTCATGGGTTTCCTGCGGGAGCTTGCCTAAGTCTTGGTACCGGTGGCCACTTTAGTGGTGGCGGGTACGGGTACTTGATGAGAAAATATGGGCTTACAGTGGATAATATTGAAGATGCGAAACTAGTTAATGTGAACGGGACAATTCTTGATAGAAAGTCCATGGGAGAAGATCTTTTTTGGGCCATTAGAGGAGGAGGTGGAGCGAGCTTTGGAGTCATTCTGTCGTGGAAGATCAAGTTGGTTCCAGTTCCAGCCAAAGTGACAGTGTTCAATATTCAAAGGACTTTAGAGCAAGGTGCTACGGATGTTATTTACAAGTGGCAATACATAGCTCCCAAGTTGCCCAAAGACATCTTCATCAGAGCAATGCCGCAAGTGAAGAATACTACTAATGGAACGAAGACTGTGGAAGTGTCTTTTATTGGTCACTTTTTGGGACAAACTGCCAATCTTCTTCAATTGCTGAATGCAAGGTTCCCAGAATTGGGTTTACAAAAGAATGATTGTTTTGAAATGAGTTGGCTTGAATCGACTATATTCTGGGCTGACTTCCCAGTTGGAACCCCCATAGACGTTTTACTTGACAGGCCAAATGGGCCAGCAGTGTTCTTCAAAGTCAAGTCTGACTATGTGAAAGAACCAATTCCAAAACAAGGAATAGAATCCATATGGAAGATTATACTTAAGATAGAGAAAGTGTGGATGCAATGGAACCCTTACGGTGGAAGAATGAGTGAGATTTCTGAGTCGGAAACACCATTCCCTCACAGAGCTGGAAACCTATTTTTGATTCAGTACTGGACGTTTTGGGGGGAAGAAGGAGCTGAGACTACCAAGAAGTACGTGGGCTTATCAAGAAAGTTGTATGAAGGAACTACTCCTTTTGTTTCCAAGAGCCCAAGGGAGACCTTCCAAAATTACAGGGATATTGATATTGGCGCCAATCTGGATAATCGGACAAATTTTGAAACTGCTAAAGTTTACGGAAGCAAGTATTTCAAGGGAAATTTTGAAAGATTGGTAAGTGTAAAAACTGCGGTTGATCCCCAAAATTTCTTCAAGCATGAGCAAAGCATCCCACCTCTTTAGAGAGGGAGATACAAGACTGATAAAGGATATGGAACTAATTGTATGCCCCAATTTCCTTCTTTCGATATTACTTTGAATGTGTTATTCTCAGTTTCTTTTGAAAGTCTTGAAAAAATTAGTCAGAACAATTAAGTTCTCTCAATAATTATTCCTAATTGTTTCGATATATGTTGATTTGTTTTTTGTCTAATGATGCACAACACACAGTTAAAAAATCACTGTAATATATGCATATGTATAAATAAGTTTATATAAATGCCGTACTTAAGCGTAAATCAAACCCCCATTAAGGATTAGTTCTAAACCCTAAAGCCAAAGAACCTGGAAATTTATCTGAAGTGTTGGAGGTGACTGGAATTAGGATGTAGAGATGAGCAGCGATGGGACGCCGGAGGTAGAACACCAGCGACGACCATACATAGCAGTGATACCACCATGATGGGATCACAAATCTCAGGACCCTATTCAACCTACAAGCTGCAATAAAATGGCAATGGAGAAGATGAAGTAGAAGGGAGCAGGGCTCCAATATATTTTTTGGTTTGTAAAGAAGATGCCAAATGAGTGGCGAACGAGCACTTTGGTGCCTATCTACAAGAATAAGAGCGACGTACAAAATTGCATGAACTATAGGGGTATTAAGCTAATGAGTCATACAATGAAGCTCTGGGAGAGAGTCATTGAGCATAGATTGAGGCAAGAGACACGGGTTTCGGACAACCAATTCGGGTTCATGCTAGGTCGCTCAACCATGGAGGCAATCTATCTCTTACGAAGATTGATGGAAAGATATAGAGATGGGAAAAAGGATTTACACATGGTCTTTATAGATTTGGAAAAAACGTATGATAGGGTCCCAAGAGACATTCTTTGGAGGATTTTAGAGAAGAAAGGAGTACGAGTAGCATATATCCAAGCTATAAAGGATATGTATGAAGGAGCAAAGACTGCCGTAAGAACTCATGAAGGACAAACCGAAAGCTTTCCCATAACTGTAGGATTACATCAAGGCTCATCCTTAAGTCCTTACCTTTTTGCGTTGGTAATGGATGAGTTAACAGGACATATTCAAGATGATATTCCTTGGTGTATGCTTTTCGCAGACGATATAGTGTTGATAGATGAAACTTAGGAAGGGGTAAATGCAAAGCTTAACCTTTGGAGAGAAGTGTTGGAATCTAAAGGTCTTCGCCTAAGCCGATCAAAGACAGAATATATGGAGTGCAAGTTCAGTGCAAATGGAAGCCAAAACGAGTTAGGGGTGAGGATCAGAGATCAAGAAATACCAAAGAGCGATTGTTTTCATTACCTAGGATCTATCTTGCAAAAGAACGGAGAATTAGATGGAGATCTCAACCATAGAATACAAGCTGGATGGATGAAGTGGAAGAGTGCATCCGGCGTGTTGTGTGACCGCCGTATGCCACTGAAGCTCACGGGAAAATTTTATAGGACGGCAATAAGGCCGGCGATGCTGTATGGCACAGAATGTTGGGCGGTGAAGCATCAACACGTACACAAAATGGGTGTAGCGGAGATGAGGATGCTTCGTTGGATGTGTGGGCACACAAGAAAGGATAAGATTAGGAATGAGGATATCCGGGGTAAAGTAGGAGTAGCCGAAATTGAAGGAAAGATGAAAGAAAATCGGTTACGGTGGTTTGGACATGTGCAAAGAAGGCCTACTGATGCTCCGATTAGAAGATGCGACTATGGGACAGAGGTTCAGGGCCGAAGGGGTAGAGGAAGACCTATGAAAACTTTGGAAGAGACTCTAAGAAAAGACTTAGAGTACTTGGATCTAACGGAGGACATGACACAGGACCGAGCACAATGGCGTTCAAAGATTCATATAGCCGATCCCACTCAGTGACTTGGATTTTTCAAGTCTCAAACCGAGAAGTTTTCCTCACTCGGGAAATTAAGGGAATACTACCTCAACCTACATGCTCCACTCATAAAGCTTCAACATACAAGCTTCAACAAAAGAAAATTCAGAGAACTTAGCGAAGAAGGCTTTGGTGTATTTAACACAATACGTTGAAATGAAGGAAAGCTATTTATTAATATCCCCGATAAGTCACAAATATGTACATATACATGAGTCAAAATAAACAAACAAGAGGGAGCCTTCACAAAGGTTGCTTAGGAGAAGTCTCAGCAGTCGGTAGAGCCCCAGAAAGAGCAGGCACTGGAGGGGGATCATTTGGAGCCTCAGTACTGGACAGAACCCTAGAAGGAGGAGGCAGCAGAGGTTGATCATTTGGAGCTTCATTACGCGGTACAGCCCCAGAAGACGAAGGCAATAAATGCCTTTGGAACAAACCCACAAATCTCTGATGATCAAGTAAAACCTGACCATCAGATTCCTTCATCTGGTCAAGCTTCCTCTTCATGTTTGTAGCATAGTCATGTGCGAGCCGGTGCAACTGTTTATTCTCATGCTTGAGCCCTCTAATCTCCTGTTTGAGACTCATCACTTCAGCCGCCAATGATTCAACTTGGCGGGTTCGAGCAAATAGGCGTTGGGCCATATTAGACACAGAACCTGCACACTGAACACTGAGAGCCAGAGAATCCTTAACAGCCAACTCATCAGACCATTTGGAAAGTAGTCTGTTATCTTTGGGAGTGAGAAGGTTCCTGGCCACTACCGCAGCGGTCATATCATTCTTCATCACGGAATCCCCAACGGTAAGAGGACCAGTAGGGGAGACGAAGGATGGACGCCATATGTTGTCTGGAGAAGGCATGGCTGCCTCTTCAACAAGGTTCAAGTCAAAACGACGGTCGGAGGGGCCAGACATTTTCAAAGGTGTTGAAGAGAGAAGAGGTCGGACAAATCAAGATCTTAGAAGTGCAAGAATGAAGCTTCTACTGGTGGAGATTCAAGTGTGCTTTGGAACTTAATGCCAGCCTCTATAAAAATCTGCACTCGACGGAGCTTCAGAAATCGAAGAGGTGTTTGCTTTCTCAAAAGCTGGGCTGCTCAGAGACCACGAGACATTTGCTTTCTCAAAAGTTGGGCTGCTCAAAGACCACGAAGGCCGATCTCAGAAATCGAAGAGGCGCTTGCTTTCTCAAAAGCTGGGCTGCTCAGAGACCACGAGGGCCGATCTCAGAAATCGAAGAGGCACCTACTTTTTCCAACCTTGTCAGCACCTGCACACTCAGCTTTGCGGAAATTATGGGCATTATGTCGAAGATTTCTGGTGAAGTAGAAAGCACATGAATCTTACTGTTCAATCACCCACTTCCCACACGCAACATTAGCTCATGGGTACCACAGATAACTTTGCCAAAGTTCTCTGACAAAGTTGAGACACGTGAAGCTTGCAGCTCCCACTACACCGCTCTGACCAAGAAGGGTAAAAGAATAGCAAAGAAACAGCACTAACAAAGTTTAGACACATAAATTTTGAAGGTCTAGCTACCATATTATTACCCACAAGGGTAAAGGAACAGTACCACTGCTGGATAATTGGAAAGTCCCTGTGTGTCAACCTCTGTGCTTCGTGGCAAGATAGACTAGCAAACATGCCCAACCTTTTCTCACATTCGAGAAAACACTCCCAACAAGATTGCTTGCTCCAAAATCGAAGAGGCACCGCCCTTCGAATCTCGAGAGCCAGACTCCCAACATGATTACTTTCTCAAAAATCGAAGAGACGCCGCTCTCCGAATCTCGAGAGCCAGACCCCTAGCAGGATTGCTTTCTCAAAAATCGAAAAGACATCGTTCTCCGAATCTCGAGAGCCAGATCTCCGACAGGATTGCTTGTTCGAAAACCGAAGAGGCACCACTTTCCCAACTTCAAGAGCCGGATATCCTTGGATAAAGCTTGTCTGTAATCTTTACACGCAACATCAGCTTTCCAGATACCACAGACCACTTTTTCAAAGTGCTCTGACAGAGTTAAAACATGTGAAGCTAGCAGCTCCCACTACCGTGTTATGACCAAGCAGGGTAAAGGAATAGCATTACTACTTGTTGTTAGGGAGACTCCTATATATGTTGACCTCCATCCCTAACAGACAGGCAGACCTGCAAAAATGCTCAACCCTTCCTCATATCTGAGAGGGCACTCCCAAAGAAGCCTTTCGAAATATTCAGCTTTCTTTCCCCCCGATAATACCTCTGCAAACAAGCTATACTAGAGCAAGAATATCTCATATCATCAGGGTTAAAAGCAAGAGTATCCCATATCATGTTTTTTCCCTGTCTTTTCCTTTGGCCTTGTTCTTACCTGCAAGACAAGGAGAAAGAGAGCAATCAGTCAGCACTTGGAATTAAGCTTCCAGTCAAGAACTGACTGCCTGGAACCCCTTACTTGACTACTTACCTGGCATTGCTCTCGAGTACTCATCTTCAACATCTTATGCTTCTAGGGAAGATACCGCATCTGCTTGAGGAACATATAGGGCAAGTGAGAAGGATACAAGGAAGCATGTGGAGACAAGCGTAACAGCACACGTGCCGATACATCCACTACTCTGTCAAAAGCAAAAGTATCCCATATCAGTAGGGTCGAACGTACTATAGATTTGATGGACTTGTTTTGACCCTCAAATTCTTCAGTCGGCCTTATACTCTGGAGGAAACCAGAAAACCCTCCAGCCCAGTTCAAGAATAAGCCTGTGGAAAGTTACTTCTTCAAAAGCAAAAGTATCCCATATCATCTCTTCTCATTTTTCTTCTCTTTATCCTTCATGCTGCCTGCAAGATAAGGAGAATGTGAACAATCAGCCGGAACTCGAAATCAAGTTCTGATCTGGGACTGATTGCTTGGAGCTCTGATTGCTTACCTTGTCTGTCACCTCTTTCAGCAGATCCCCTAGCTCGGCGACTTGGAGGACTCCTACTACATGGTTTGTATCGCGCTTGACCAAGCCTGAAACTACAAGTAAGCTTCAAGTGAAATTGATACATTACCTTGTGCATCTCCACCAGTTAAAGATACCACCCCTGGATGGAGGAAGAGTACTTCCAGAGAAGATGCCACATCTACCTACGAGACAGATGAGGCA